TAATATAATATAATATAATATAATATAATATAATATAATATAATATAATATAATATAATAAAAACCGATTTCAAATATCTTGGGTCCACTCTAATATCAAATGGACAGGCAAAAGATGATATTACAACTCGGATCAAGGCAGCTAGAAATGGGTTCTTCCGGTTGACGAAACCTTTATGGAGTCGTCGTGAAATCACCATAAAAACGAAATTTCGCGTCTATTTAGCTGTGATCCGTTCGATCTTGCTATATGGTTCTGAGACATGGCCAGTGAGAGTGGAGGATATCAAGAAGAATCTGTCTTTGACCACTCTAATCTCAGGTACATATTACGGAAAACCGTCGAGCGGATAAAATATCACAGGATCGCATCCATCTTCGTTCAAATACCACTTGTATAAATAATATTATCACAGAGCGCCGCCTTCGCTGGTTAGGGCATTCTCCGTTGTCCACCACAGGAATTAACGCATATTTCGTTATTTGCTAAACCGTGTGATGTTTGACGTCAAAAGCGAGGTCCAATCAAGACCTGGACTGATACGGTGAGAAAAGATTTTGAACGCATAGGTGGACCAGCAATATATGGACTTAGATGATGGAAAAAGGAATGGCTTCCATTACAGTCGACGATGGCATCAGACCACACCGCTTGGAAGCCCGTCATACCCTTGTAGCCGTTGGAACCAGCCTAACCAGTAATCGTGAGAGCTGTTAGAAAAAGAAGAATATAATATAATATCTTTTCCGATAATTATTCCATTATCGCTTGCCTTATCCGTTTATTGCAGTTATTTGTTTCCATTATTTATTAGTTATTATTATTTATTTACAATTTATTTACAATTGTTACAGTCCTTTTTCACTTAATACCATTTATTTTAATAAATACCATTTATTTTAATAAATATTTTAATGATTATTTATGATTAACATCATTATTTTTATTAAAATTATGATGATGGAAACAAGAAATAAGATTTTTGCTGTAAACATATCAATTTATATGATCTTTTATTACACATTTTTATTCGTTTCTTAGTAACAATTGTTTTGCTATCCTCCACTTTTTATTATTTTCCTTAAATTTCTCACATAAAACTTATTTCATTTTGTATTTCCTTGAAAATTTTGATATTTGATTAGCTTTCTCAATAAATACTTTTTTTAACATTACAATAAATAATTATTAAATAATTAAATTTAAATAAAGCTCTGAATTTTGTTTTTTTTTACATAAATAATCATCGATATCGACGTAAATAAATCAAATTTCATTTCGTAAAATAATTGAATAATTAAAATAAAATTTTACTGATGAATATGAATAATGTTTAGAAATAATGGAATTAAAATATTTATTAACATTATCGTTGGTGAGTATAATTATCAAAGCTTATCCTGAAGGTGAAAAATTAGCAAAAGTTGAAGTACCAGCAAGTGAAAGTGAAGAATCTGTAAGCCATTTTACCCACATTCTTTAAAAACTTCATCCTTGACATAAGATCTTTTTTTATCTCGTAAATTCGTTCTTTCCAAAATTTTTTTTCCAAATTTTAATAATCATTCAATATTGATAAGCCTTTGTTTTTTATCCCTTTTAAACAAAATTTATTTATAGCGAGGGAATTGCCAATTTCATTAAAAAAAAGATAATAGAGGAAAGGGAATGAAATTTATGGCAATTGGATTGGCCAGATTATTAAGAAAAAGGGATTTAATTTTTCAGTAATTCTTTAAGTTTATTTATTTATCTTTAAATCTAAAGATTGTCCGATATTAAATAATAATTAGATTTATTAAAGGGTTTTCTCTCAACATTCTTCAGTGGTATCGCAGACACCGTTTCTTCTGCAGGTTTGTCTATTCTTATTTTATTTTTTATTTGTTAAATTCATTTTTCGCGCGGTGCTCGCGACCTATGCGTACTTCAGCCGCCAAGTAGTTCCTTGGCAAAATTTTTTTGGTCCGACAAGCCAGTGGAGTGAGCCTTATCAGAAATGGCTCTTAGAAAAAAAATTAGTACTGGGCCGTTTATAGAATTTTTAGAATATTTGAGTTCAAATCGATTAAAGCAGTTCGCTATTGATCTTTTTTAGTATTAAAATCACTTTAGTTATAATTTTTTAGTTAAAGCAACAACGGACTTCATAGCTGGTGGAGCTGATAGCGCAGGTTTGCAATTATTTTATCAAATTAATAATAATATTACTATACAACAGTATATTTAATAATAATAAATAACGTTCTATTACGAAGCAAACTTGAACTTGCAACTTAAAATACGATGATCGTAAATCCACATAAATATACCACTTTCATATTAAGGAAATTTCCTACAAAATTCATAAATGTAAGCATATGAACGGTGGGATCCTTGGATGAGACTCTTTTAATGTTTATATGCTCTATTTCAAATGTGAAGGTGTCGCATACTAGAGTTATTCCGGCTAAGATGCCGTATTAACAAGGCCTAAGTCAGATGTTCAGGAACCAGGACTATCTGTTGATATCCAGCAGAGCTAGGGACAGTAAGACACTGGTATTACGCAGAATCCCCAATCTCTCAGACCTCTGTTAGACAACTGAAGGTTGAAGATGGTTCTTATCCCACGGGGGAGATTTTTTAATAAAACAAGAACTAGGAGACAAATAATTTTATCATATCAACAACTCTCATTCAACTTAAGGCCCATGTATTTTAAAATTTATCGATAGATATCACTGAGTTATAAATCTTGAATTAATTTTTTTTAAATATTAAATACTTGTTGGCGTCCAATGAACTTGATTGGAAAGGAATTTTCATATTTATTTTTATCATCTCTCGAATTGCATTTTATTACTTCAGTAGTAAATTTAATTAAAGAATATGAATATTCCATACCAATTAGTTTTGCCATTTTATAAATATTTTATTTTTATACGTATTTATGCAACATTATATGAATATGCCCACAGAAATCAAAGAGAGGTCTATATACTTGAATCATCTTTAGGTGAGAACATAATTCTAATTAACGAGCATCTAAGATGTTAAGCATTAATAATAAAATATGATTGGTAGTGAACTGAAACGAATTTTTTAATGATTCGTTTAGGCACCAGAAAATTGAACTGATAATTATTACGGCCGCAAATGTTAAAGTGCAAATTATTGTATGACATCTCTTTACAAAATCTTTAATATATGAAACAATGATGATAAAACAACGGAAAAATAAATGCCAAACCCGATATAAAAATTTTTGCAGGAGAAGCTGCAAAATCAGCAGGTGATAAAGCCAAGGAAACTGCTGAAGGAGCAAAAGAAATGGCAGGTAAAATTAAGTAAAATTAATGCAATTCATCCTCATTCTGCAAAGGAAGGCATTTTGATATAAAATAAGTAATTGAAATGGAAAATGGAGAAAATGCACCAAATTAAAGCTGAAATTAATTAATAATTAGTTCTCTAATGATAAATAACTGAGGATCAAAATGAGAGAATCAGGAAATTGCAATATAGTGAAACCTCCATTAAGATTGGCACCATGATGGGGATAGAATGGCTCAGTGGGCTGTTGCTCAATTGGGAGTACCAATGCTGAGGTTCGATTCTTGTACAAAAATCCGGGTGATGCTGGCAATTCACATGTATTTCTATCGTCAAGAGACTTCCTGGCATATTACCCAATGCGACAAGCCAGTAGAGCGAGTTTAACTAGTAATGGTGAGGACTCTTAAAAAAAAGTTGGTATCATGATACCAAAATGTTGTTTCTCCAATTATGGACTGATTCAGTTCAACTAACATTCATCATACTTATAACGCTTGAAATTTTCAAGGATTTTCATGAATAATGACATGAATAATGCCAAATTCTCGTCCTTTTTAGCAGATTCCTATCGCAAATATAGTATTAAAGATCTTAAGGACAATTTTTTTGGTATTTTTAGATGATGCTGTTAAAACAGTTGGAGATAAAGCTAAAGAAGCATCTGATACTGCGAAAACTGTGGCAGGTATATATTAAAATGCGTTCTTTCATGAAAAAAACGCTTTATTAATTTAAAAGATTGAATTTATTCTCATATTTTTAAATCGAATCCACTGATAATTTGTTTTTTTCCAGAATATTCATTCTTTTATCTTGGGAACTTCAGTTTTGTGAAGTTGTGAAAAAAAAGTTTTCAAAAACTGGTTTTATTGCAAAATTAAATTATAAATTATGCATTAATGAAAATATTATCTGCAAAGATGGAAAGGTTTGAACTAAATTACTGAAAAATCATAGGTAATGCAGCTGAAGCTGCAAAAGGTGCTGCATCAAAAGTTGGCGAAGCTACGAAAGATGCCGCTGATAGTGCTAAAAGTGCTGCAGGTTAGTTTGACTTTCTCGAAATTCGGCAAATTATGCAAACAATACATGAATCTTCCCATAAGGATGGTTTGCATAATTTCAAGGCTAATTCTGAAATCTATAGGTGATGCTGCTAAGGGAATTAGAGATAAAGCGAAAGCAGCCTCTGAAACTGCAAAAAATATGGCAGGTACTTTTTCATATGCTTACGTATTTTTTAAACTCTCTTAGCTATGAGACGAGGTCGTTTTGCCAGAGTCGCGGAAATATGCTAGTACCGACAACTTTAATTTCATTTCTTCAGTTTTTAGAATAATATTTAGATCATGCAATAGCTAAAAAAATGAAGGACAAAAATGCATTTTGGTGAAAAATTAATGCATTTGAACCAAAGTTTTTCAAAAACAGAAAAAAATAGATTAATTGGTTAAAAAATTATGCAGATGATGCAGTAGAAGCCGCCAAAGATGTTGCATCAAAAGTTGGCGAGACGGCAAAAGAAGCTGCCGATGCTGCAAAAAATGTTGCAGGTTGATTGGATTTCTAGCATGTTAACATGATTTGTAATATCAACAGTCATTCCACATTTATATGCATCTAATGTTTATATGCATCGCTTAAAGTCTAACTTGTCAAAAAGATTTCTAAAGATTAAATTTTATTTTCTTGGCACAAATCTTGTCTATCTATTAGCAGAATGTTCATTAATATTTAGCATCATTTTAAGGCGATGCTGCTGATGCAATAGGTAACGCTGCATCTGATGTCGGTGGTAAAGTTAAGGATGCTGCCGGCGCTCTTAAGGATAAAGCAAGTACCGATAATTTCGTTAAAAATTCTCAAAATTATTTATTATTTAATGATTTCTTTGGCGTATGTTGCATAATTGAAAGTGGTATCAACGTTTCAATGTTGCAAAGAAAAAAGAAAAAAAGAACTGAGTTTATTTTGGTGGAAAATTTATTTTTAATGAACTCCGCTGGTTCTTTTTACATTTTATGGATTTCAATTTGCTATTAAAATGAACACATAAGCGAGTCTGAAAATTTGACTAAAGACTATTTGGTTATAATATAAAATAACATCAAATATTCTGGCAACCAATTACGATTATTGACCAATTTTTAGGTGAAGGATTTACAAATTTGAAAGAAAAAATTGGCATTTCTTGATCAGTAAGAATTTTAATGCTGATATATCAACTTTCTATTCTTTCATTTGGTTATAATGTACGTTTATAATGTACGGTAATGTACGTTTCAAGTTATTCTTAATTCGATCGTTGTTTATCCTCAAATTACCAAGAAAATAGTTTATTGCCATTTTCATTTTTTTTTTGTAGAATATATAAAAATAAAATATGCACAGTACTCGTTAAATCCACACCCGATCATTATAAATCTTTAATGCGAATTGCAATAAATTGCGGTTTCTAAAATTGGATTTCAGAAGCATTATTTATTTGATAATTTGATATAGTTCGGTTAATTTAACTATTAACATTATCAACCATTCTCCGATAATGATTGTTTTTCCATGGAAAATCTGATAAAAAATTCATTCAAACACATTTTATAACAAGAATATTTTCAGTTATGATCATTTTTAATTCAATAATTTGTAATTTGCACAGATTCTGAAAAAAGCCAGTCCATAAAATAGCAAAATATATACTTTACTTATTTTTTCAAGAGCGCTTGCTATTGCTGGTTAGGCTTGTTCCGCTGACTTGTAAGACCAGAAAAGTTTTGCCAGGAAGTCATTTAGCGATAGAAGCATAGGTGAATCAATAGCACCATCCGAGCAAAATATATATCGCTTGTATTACTTGTTTCCTTAAATTGTGCCAAAAAATAGAGCCTAAAATTCAACGTCAAGGGCGTCAACGCCAAAAGAAATTATGAAAAACAAGTTTTTTATATGATATACATATGAAGTTTTATATGATATCTATAAAAAATTTTTATCTAATTACGATATAAAAAGAAAATTTTGCATCATTTTTACGATTAATTTTTATCATATTGATCAATAATGAAGAGTAAAGCAAGCAAAGCCATATACCTTTACATTTTTAGAAGTAAAGCAATAAGGCTGTATGCTTTTTAAAACAACCAAACAAATTAACTTTTGCGTTAGAAGCAATAAATAAGGTAACATTATACGAAAGAATATTAAATAATATTGTAATATGGAAAGGAACCCTTTTGAGCTGAAGTCAATATAAGCGAATAAAAACTGAAAAATTTCATGGATATTTTCGCTTAGTTTTTTTCCAGAACGAAATACAGAAGAAATAATCCAGAAATATGATGGTTTTGTCCACTTCTACGATATCTTGTTCTGTTCAGCTTTTATTATCCACATTATTATGTTGAAAGTTTCGCCTCTGACAAACTTTTATCTAAAAGTGCACGTAGTACTAATTATTATCCTCATGCATTTCTATCGCCAAGTGAAATACCTACTTGCCAAATATTTCTAATCACACGAACAATTGATTGAACCTAATCAGAAATGGTGAGTGCATTTTTACAATTTCACACTATATTTGTAATTTCCATCATGTATATTGCTCGCTTTAAAGTAGAAAACATATATTTCAATTTTAAAGCCTTTTTTTTAAATTAAAATTATTTGCTGATTTCCACATTTTTGTTGGTTTAATTTGGTGTAGCGATTTATCTAAAATTTTAAAATTTATACAAAATCTACAAATTTACAATTGTTTTGGCAGTGGACATATAGGATATAAAGAAATATTTTTATAATTTTATTTTTTATTTTATATTTTTTTATTAATAATAACAGATTAATTTTTCATTAGAAGGAAAAAAAACATGGAACATTCGTTCTAACTTGCAAAAAAAACGAAAGTAGCCCACTATTTCTGGTTTTTTTCGCTTCACTGGTTATTATTAAGAGCAAAAATTTTGTCTATGAGATCATTTGGCGACAGGATCAGTGGTAAGCAGCACGCGATTAATGTCTAGTTCACTCCTGAATAGAACCCTTGCCACGATAATTTGAACCACTTGGCTACCTTGCAAATTTTACAGTCTTTAAATAATTTTGAATGCGTGAATTCGACCAATTAGTTTAAGTTTTAATACTGAAAACAGAATTTGTGATTTCCTATTTAAGCCAATTTTTTGATAAAAATTAGTACCCTTTACAATGGCCATTTTATTGAAATTAATAACTCTTACGAAAACTTAACTTCTTCCTCGTCAAAATATACGCTTATATTATAAAAAGCAGATAAAAGCCTTTTATCTTTCCACTGAGCAGCAGAAATAAAGAATGAACACAAATAAATGAAGCCAAATAAATCAATTATAAATTTAATATGATCAATGAATTGAAAATGGAAATTGAAAAATATGAAAAAAATCAAGGATCTTTAATTTTAAATCAATTCCAGCAATTTTTTATATTTTTAAACTTCTTCAGAAACAAAATAATGTAGAAAAGAAAAGCGGTTGTCTTTCATCTTTCCATAGTTAAAAAACTAAAGACAATTTAAGAGATTGATATTCCCTAAGCCATAATTTTCCAAACTCTCTTCTGCGGAAATTCACACTTCTAACTTTCTTCGTTTATATTCAAACTAATTTTTCTAATTTTCTAATTTTTATATTCAAACTAAGGTATTCAATATTTTTTAATTATTTTTTATTTGTAATTAGAATTTTTATGCGTAATGCATTTTATGTGAATTTTCCATAAATAAACACTTGAGAATCTGTGGCTTTGAGAAAATTCTTGGAGGTGAAATTTTTGAGAATTTTTAATTCTTGGAGCCTAGCCTGCAAAATTAAAGTCTGCTCCTTTTTCCTCTCTGTTGCCATCTATTATAAATATCGAAAATAGAAAAAAAATGCATCTTCTGCAGTGTTTTTTCTTCTTTAAACTTTGTGATAAAATATTGACAGTGAAAATACAATAATATTTACAATAATAAAACATTTAATTATAAAAAAATAGGAATAAAAATTTTAAAACAAATAAAATAAAAATAAAATTTTGATTTATTTCCATTACTTATTTTTAATATTCTAACTTTTTGCAATTTCTCTGGTGCATATTTTTCTATTTCTTCCATAATCTTTAAGTGCCATTTTTATTTTGGTTCCAATAAATGGTAATAAATAACAATGAACAAAAAAATTAAACAAGATATTTAAAGCAGAACGATCTATTAATTTTGCCTCCCGTGCATCAAAAATTTTTTCTTCATATTTTCCAAAAATTTCTTAAAGAATTTCTTAAATCATCGAAAAGCCATTATGATCATATGTTATGATATTTCAAAATGTGATACAGCAGGACGTTGATGTGATTTCCAATGGTAAAAAAATAATTATGCATTATCTCATATTTTGAAAAAAATTAAAATTATTCAATCGTTTCTGCTTTAAATTTCTTATTTAACTTTTTATTCGCTATTATTTGAATGATCTCGAAAAATTTTCAGTTTTTCGCGATTAATTTGAATGTGAATGCATTATGAAATTAAAAAATCCGAGAAAAATGGTTGTTGGAGAGGTCAGAAAAATTATTTTTGATTTGCCGGGTTTTTTTACTCCCTTTTTTATTGAATTATTCTGAAAAACGATAACTAAATTTTTATTTGTTTTTTTTTTTAAATCGCGGATAGCTTATTAATATTTATAATACTTTTATTTTGAAATTTTACGAAATTTTTTTTTTTTTGTAATTTTATTTTATAATGAATTTGATAATAAAGGCAAAAGATTAATTGGCTGAACAAGATAACAAAACAACTTTTTGCTAACTCAATTATTTATCATTCAGCAGGCGACATTTGCTTATGCAATTATTTTCAGGACTTAAAACAACCATAAATATATTACCATAAAAATAATCATATGTTCTAGGGCATAAGCACAAAATAGTGCTAATAATAAGTATATAAGTTCATAGGTTTTATACAAATATAGGAATTAATTGATTCAAGATTTTCTTAGAAAATAAATATCATCCTTTGAGATATGAGATTATATGGCCACACTGAATTCGAATGACTCTAATTCTATTTTCCGAAAGCAATAATAAAAGAAGGAAAATATTTAAAGGTTTCATATGATGGTTTCGATCAACTGGTTGTTATGATAAATCATTAATGCGGAAATGAATGCGGAAATTTAATTTAAACCAGTTTCCGAATTTCCGAACGAAGCTGGTAAATGGCGGTGGTTTTTCTAAGAAAAATAAACCTTGAACAATTCAAATAATCGGCATTAATCGACAAATCTACTGAGTTGTTTGTGAATGTTTTGCCTTTATTATTAATTTATCCCATTGTAATAATTATTAAAATTTTCTATTTATTTTATTAAAATTTTATTTATTTTCGCCATGTGATTTCTTAAGCTATAAAATTTTGCTCTAATTATAATTGCTAGAATTTAAAACGGTTTAACAATATCCATGCTTAAATTTCTACTCATTTATGTTAGAGAATCTCAGTTTATTACAAATATTGATTAGATAAAATCTGATTTTTTTTGCAAGCTGGATTCGTGAAAATAGAAGATAGTCAAGCGGCATGTTGCCTCGAAGAAGGTCAAACCATGTCATATGAAAGAAAAAATACCATCAAAAATAAAATCTGAATGATGCTCTGAAAAGCCTGCATTTATCCTTGATGCTCTGGCGAAAGAATCCTTATAGCCAGCCAAACCAAAAATACAAAATATTGCAAGGAGAAAAGGAAAAGCTTATGTACGAACAAGTATAAAGGGCTCTTTAGGCATGTTCTGTTAAATTAAAAATTAGTCATAATTAAATGACTAATTTTATTAATTTCAGGTTCGAATGGATTTTTTCGCTCTATTATTTTTATACTTCTTGTTTGTTCAAATTTTTGGTGATAATATGAAGGAAGTCATTGGTAAGCACTTGGGATTATTTTGCATAGAACACAGTTGTTGCGCTACTATTTTTGCTAAATATATGGACAATATTTAACATTTAAAGTTAAACAAATAAATATATTCCTAATACAAATTCAATCAGTTTGTTCCACTAGTTTTTATTAAAAAAACCCTTCTCAACCAATGTGAGTATTAGGAGCTTCTCTCGAGTCCTCCAGCAGAGGCTAGTTGAGGATCTTAGATGTTCATTATGCTATTCCGGATAGAGGTTT